AGAAACACACACACACACACACAAGAGAAACACACACACACACACACACACACGAGAGAAACACACACACACACAAGAGAAACACACACACACACAAGAGCACACGAGAAACACACACAAGAGCACACGAGAAACACACACACACAAGAGCACACAAGAAACACACACACACACACAGATACACACACAGATACACACTCACATACACACACATACACACAGATACACACACAGATATACACACAGATACACGCACTCACACAGATACACACACTCACACACACACACACAGATACACACTCACACAGATACACACACACACACTCACACAGATTCACACTCACACACACAGATACACACACACACAGATACACACTCTCACACAAACACTCACACACACACACACACAGATACACACACACAGATACACACTCTCACACAAACACTCACACACACACACACACAGATACACACACACAGATACACACTCTCACACAAACACTCACACACACACACACACAGATACACACACACAGATACACACTCTCACACAAACACTCACACACACACACACACAGATACACACACACAGATACACACTCTCACACAAACACTCACACACACACACACACAGATACACACACACAGATACACACTCTCACACACACACTCACACACACACACACACAGATACACACACAGATACACACTCACATACACACAGATACACACACAGATATACACACAGATACACACTCACACATACACACTCACACAGATACACACTCACACAGATTCTTGAGTTGGCAGCCGTATGTTAGCAGGTAATTACAGTAAAAGAGCGTACAGCTACTCGCAGCATGGTCACGGACATCGGCTTAACGGCCACAGCAGAAGTAAATGACAGTAATTACCTCTCAACCATGTTAGAGAGAGAGAGCAAAGCAAAATAAGAGTGAAAGATTAAGAGAAAGAGAGAGACAGTGGAGAGAAGCGAGCGAGAGAGAAAAGAAGTCCATTAGGGTAATGTGCAGTAAAATTTCTCTTAGAGCGCCATGACTCGTTAAGTGGTCTCCATCTGTCTCGCTTTTTAAACTCAGGAAATATGAAAATCATTTATAATTGAGAATATCCAGGCATGCCCCGAGCTGGTTTGTGCATGTTAACTGGCATGGTCAGAGCTCCCACATTGCTCCCACAGAGCATCCCAAACTGAGCAAAGGCTTCATTAGAAAATCACATTGATTCATGAATGAGTGGTGTCTGTCAGCCTTATTTTTCTCCGCATCATTCTGCAGCAGCCAGCTTCTTTCATATCAAATCACTTCAAGTAATGCACTAAAGATTGAATTACTAATTCAAAATCAGATGTGCGTTTGTATGTATGTACTGTATATATTTTGTTTTGTTCTATCAGTATTTTACTATAAAAAATATCTAAACATCCTTAAAACAAGTCAAATTTAGTTGAGAAGCAAAAGTAATATAATAAGACTTTCTTCTGAGAATATATTTTGAAGTTACCCACTTGTTTTAAACATAAATCTCATTATAAAATAGTTGTGCATACAGCAAGAAACTGTGGGGTAAAAAGAAAAAAATAATTTAAGGTATATTCTCTGAAAACACATCTTATTTTATGCAGTTATCTAATGTAAATTTATCTTGTTTTAAGTATGTTTATTTTTACTGGAAAATAAGGTTAGGAAAACTGATTAAGAAACTACTTTACGTCTTGGAAGTAGACTTGTGTTACTATGCTATGTGTATATGTATGCAAGCGTGTCTACTTCCAGCGAGCCACCCTCTCTCTCTCTCTCTCTCTCTCTCTCTCTCTCTCTTTATCCGTGTGATGAATGTCTATCATTGACAGTAGTGGCATATGATAAATGCCTTCATTATCTTCAGTGGAACTCTGGCTTTGGCAGTCAATTCACTAGTCTTAAGAGAAATCTCTGTGTCTGCAGTCTGCTCAGGCAGGCCTGAGGCAAATCCTATTCTGATTCGGATTCAAAAGCGGTATTGGCATTATAATCAAAGTTTTAAAGTGCCAATGCATTAGTAAACAGTACACACATTTGGACACAACACATATCAACAGAAGCTTGCATAGGGCTTTGTAGCTATTGGATTTCCTCTGTGTTCAGCTTGTGTGTAGTTATAGCATGAGAGTGTCATTTGTTTCTACTTCATTTTGGGGCAAATTCAAGAATGTAGCACATTACCATATAGTATTTTAGCGTGAAACATGCCTGCTTTCTATGTTAATTAGGTGTATAATAGACACTAATAATAATAATTATACCACAAGCTAGCACTCAGAACCAATTCACAAAAATTTGGGTGTGTTTGCACCATTACTTCATTTGCATAAACCTTTAGTAAATTGAGAACTAAAACAACTGAAACAGTGCATGCAAATGAACAATGCAATTCATTCTTTGTGAATTCCCCATTCTGTGTGCAGTTAGTTGTGTTGCCAGGTCTGTCTTTGTCTACCTGTCTGTCTTTATGACAAGCCAATGTTTGCAAATCACTTTCTATGTACTCTACTCGCCAGGCCTGAGGCAAATTTTCTGCACTCAACTACTTTGACTGACCTCCTCTCTGGAGAGTGACAGCCTTATCAACTCCAAGACAGTTTTGTTGAGTGGTTGGACAGACAAAACTATCCTGGCAGAAAGAGTGTCAGAGAAAAGGAGTGAGACAGAGGCAGTGTTCAATCATTTAGTAGTATTTCTTTCTTATAGGATAGTTATGTCGATGTTCACCTTTCTATGGTTTGGCCTGTCTATCCCCCCTGTTAAGTTATTCTTTGTGTCAGCAGTAGACATCATATTCTTTAATTACACAGAGTTCCCCAGTTCTGTCTTACTCTCACATGTACACACAACCAACATTTTCTGTCTCACAGGTTTAAGCCCCTCGTTCCTGTCTATCTCAGTCGGTTGTCACTGTCTTTCTCAGTTAGTGTCACCTGCAGTCACACAGATACACACTCACATACACACAGATACACACACAGATATACACACAGATACACACAGATACTCACACAGATACTCACACAGATACACACACTCACACAGATACACACACTCACACAGATACACACTCACACAGATACACACTCACATACACACAGATACACACACAGATACACACACAGATACACACTCACACAGATACACACTCACATACACACACATACACACAGATACACACACAGATATACACACAGATACACGCACTCACACAGATACACACACTCACACAGATACACACAGATACACACTCACACAGATACACACTCACATACACACACACACACACACACACAGATACACACACACACACTCACACTCACACACACACACTCACACACACAGACACACACACACACTTGCAGGCATACTGCTGGTTTACCTACAGTAAGAATTTTTAACCGATTAATCGCTACT